AACTGTGGGGTGCAATGTATACCGCCATGACTCAATGTTACACATTATACTAATATGTGTTTGGTATCTTTTGCAGGTGATATGGCCACTCGAAAACACCAACTAGAAGCCATAGAGCTGGTGGTAGTGGTTAGCCACCTCCAAAGAAACCACCAACTGACAATAATGTAGCGGAGACGAGTGCTACATAGGCACGAACAAAGGCTAGGCATGCAAAGGAAAGGACTGAAACTTATAAGGTGGACACTAAGCCCACCAATCTGAGCACTGAGCTGCCTGAGATATGATGAGGGAGTCTCTTACACCCACTCTACTATTGATTATTTTTTGTATGCTTCTATGATACTGTACAACTGGAGACAATGCACTCTCTTAAGTATGGGGTGGGAGTGTCAGAATTTGATTTTTGTGGCATGTGTTTAATTGCTTGTGATACATTTTGTTATGATCACACTCAAGGCCATTGTAATTGTATAATTATAGTTAGCTTTTTATTGGCATAATTCCGGATTTTTTTAAACCACGGTTCTTTTTCGAGGATGCCACTTTTTTGAACCGAGTAGTCTTAGGTAGTTTTTCTTTCTCAAACTTTGTAAAAGAATTTGTAGACTTTGCCCGACGATGGATTGCTTGGACAATTTTCTTGAGGGTTTAAAGTCTAAAAAAAAAAGACAAAAAGATTTTTTTTCCTTTGTTTGTTTTGAACTGATATAGGAATGGGAAGAGATTGAGTATTGTGCTTCATGATATATTTTATATCGGGTCTTAGACCTGGAGCATTTGTGCTTAATACTTTCTCTCAATTCTTGTGAATATGTGCCTTGAGAATATATGTGATTTTACTCTGACTTTTGGGCCTATCTTTTGAATCTTGTTATGTACTTCCTATATGGTTTAGTTTTATGATGACTGTGCTTAGCTACTTTAACTTGAGAGTAGGGTCTAAGTCGTCTTAAGTATGCCATGTGCATTATGCGAGGTGTGAAGTTTGAGTTGTACTCTGTGCCATCCCGAGATAGTATAGAACTTGCCCCGTGTGTGAGTCAAAACAAAATGATTAAGTATCGTTAGAATAGGAGATGATATAGGCATTTCTTTGATTTATCAGTGAGCCACTTTTGTCCACCAATGCTAATATTATCCATAGTCAACCATTTTGTGCTTGTAGACCTTTTCCTTGGCACCCACATTACAAGCTAAATTCCGCTTGTTCTTAATCAAATCTTGTTCACCTTTTACCTCTGAAAACACTTAAGTCACTATAAGAGTAAAGAGAGATACCGGATAACATTTGAGTAGTACCATAGGAAGGCCGAGAAGGAGCGTTGTGTTTAAATGAATTACTAGCTAGAAATGCCAAAAAATTAAGGGGAGTGTAAAAAAAGAGAGAGAAAAAATAGATTTTGAAGTATACCTCCCCAGGAATTGATCTGGGCTAGTAAGCATCGACGTGACGATATGCTTAAAAAAGAAGGGCCTAATTGTGTATTGGTTCGTGGCATGACATTGACTTGGTCATGATGAGAAGGCGCTTGAAAGTGAAATGTAGTGTACTAAAGTACTTAGGAGGGATAATAACTATTTTTTCCAAATATATCCTACTCATCCCTTAGCCTGCATTACAACCTATGAAGTCCTACTTGATCCGAATCTATGCGAACTTAAATTAGTCAAGTCTAACACTACGGCAAGCCTATGCTACGAATTTGGGGTGGCATATGAGTTATTTTTGCGAGAGTGAGTGAATTCTTTCGATTGGAGAGTCCTTAAAATATACTTAAACTTATTTTTGAGTGTGTGGACTACTTTCTCTCTTTGGTTTGTTGGTGAGGGCACGTGATTTACAAAAGATTGGTAAAAGCCTTGGTTTTTTGAGTTGGCCCAAGAAGCGAGTCTTAGTTTGGGATGTATTGGAGTCAACTTTTGAGGCTAGGGTGTTAGAGAGAGTCACACCATTATTTTAATTAGTCTTGGCATGACGTAAAGCTTGAGGAAAAGTACGAATAGTGCTTATGCTAGGTTCTAAGCGTTGGTATAAACCATTGTCATTGGTGTGAGACTTGAGTAGGTTTGGAAATTTGTTTCTTGCCTATATGCTTAATCTATTCTCTCGGGGACGAGCAAAAGTCTAAGTTTGGGGTGGTGATAAATGACCAAAAGTGCATGATTTTAAGTGTATTTTCATCTCATTTGTCGTGTGAGTTGCGGGAGATTACATGATATTTGAAGTGAATTATACTCATTATGTATTTCTTATTTGTAGGAGTGAGCTTGAATGATAATGGAGCAAAAGATATCAAATTATTACAAAAAAGAGAAAAATGGAAGGATTGGGAGCTCGTCTATTCTCGTGCGTGGCACGAAAACGGATGCGAAAAAGGAGAAAAGTGAAGGCACAAAATAGCTAATTAAAGCAAAGGCACGGATCGCTTCGCAAAATGGAAGAATTTTAAAAACTGAATCCGCGTCCATGGGCACGCAACGCGCGAAGGCAGACACGGATTCCAGCTTCTCCCAACCGAAGTTGGATTGGAAAATTCCTCCCTTTAGCAACCCTAAGTGATATAAATATATCAAAGAATGACTATTTAAGGGTGCCACAACATCTTTGAAGGAAGAACAAGCAAGGAGCAAGACGGAAGATTCGGAAACGAGTTTTTATCTTTCTTCTTCCCTTCTTCTATTATTGGTGATGAATTCTTATATTGTAGTTGTGAAAACAATTATGAGTAGCTAAACTCTTTATTGTAGGGTTTGATGGAATCTCTTGGAGGATGAATTTTTGTTGCGTTTAATATAAGTTTTCCATTGGATTTTCTCTACTTGTTCAACTACATGATTATTGTGGTTGATTGAAGGGCCCTCAATTGACTATGTCTATTTAGTATGTATTACTTGAAAAAGTGTACATTAGGTAGTTGTTGAACAACATCACTTCTAACATATATGAGGGATCAATACGGAGGGTTTAAAGATGTGATTAGGAATAACGAAACCTTGGTGCGATCTTAGCGAGCAATAAACTAGTGCCAGCTAGCGTAGTTCGGAAGAATACGTCTAGTAAATTGTTGTATTTGCTCGGAAGCGACACCTAAAGAGCTCATGATCGGTAGAGAGTATCTAAGCGAATTTATATGAGACGTAGCAGGGAGGATTCCGATAAGAGGGAAAATCGTAACACTATATCTTTCCAATCTTGTCTACAACATTTGCTTTGTTAGTAATAAAATTACAGCTTTTTAATTACCTTATTTTTTGTTAGTAAACAATCAACTCATTATTCAATATTTCTGAAAGTTGATTACTTGAATTCTTGCGAAACTAGCAGTTGTCATTAGTAGGTTAATATCCTGTGGGATTCGACTCCGGACTTGTAAATCGGATTATATTTGCAATGATCGCTTAGTCTTTTTTATAAGGTATAATTGGGCGTAATCACCTAGCTAGCATAAATAATTGATTTTCTTATTAAAAAAAACCAACTATTACTAGAGGCTCAGCCAAAGGCAGTGAATGCATTCATGATACTCGCAATTGAGTCAAAGGCGGACTAGAATGTTGGAAGTGAGTTCAATTGAGTCAATTAGGTTTCGACATATAGACCACAGGTATATAAGTGAAACCCCCTAAAAAATAGAACAAATATCAAATTTTGAACTCATAGTTTAGAAAAACTCAGAATTTTAAACTTAATTAGTTTAAAATGGAATCTATTTATTGTGCATATCTTCTGTACCAGTAGTGTTAGTGGTAGCCTGGTGTTCTATTATTTAAGATTTCTATTACTATATGTTGTCAATTCGCTTTGTTTTCTTATTATCTTGTATTGTCAATGTTTATGCTATTGTTTTTTTATATTTTTTCTAAGCCAAGGGTCTATTAGAAACAGTCTTTATCTTTACGGTAAAGATAAGATCTGCATACATACTATCTTTTCTAAACGTCCCTTGTAAAATTATACTGAATTTGTTATTATTATTATATTCCTTGTGCATGTCCTACACAAACAATTGATAGGGACATAGGGTTATGAGGTTTATTGGGCATTTGCATGTTATTTCTGTCAAAAAGGCCCCAAATCTGAACCACAGACATGACATTCATATGGGAGGGCGGGAGACACCAATCAACTGCTAATACAAGCCAAACAAATCCTGCGCTCTTGCTTTGAACATCGTGCCTCTCTTCAGAATTTCATTAGGAAAAAACTCATACACAAAAAAATACCCAAGAATTTCCATGTCTACCAAACCGTTAAATCACTCTAGATTTTTTTTTTAAACATTGATAGTGTAACAGAATTTTTATAATATCAGATGAATTAAAAAATAATTACAAATACTCCCTTCGTTCCAATTTATGTGAACATGTTTGACTGAGTACGGAGTTTAAGAAAAAATAAAGACTTTTGAAATATGTGGTCTTAAACAAGTCAAAAAGGGGTCCATAGTATTTGTGTGATTATAAAAGCTTCTCATTAAGGGTAGAATTGTAAGTTTAAACTAAATGGTTTCCAAATTTAGAAAAGATCATTCTTTTTGAAACGGATCAAAAAAGAAATAGATTCACATAAACTGAAACGGAGAGAGTAATTATTTACAACAAGTTGGATTTAATAACATGGAAAATGAAAAAAAGTAATCCTTGACGACATGCTAAAATATATTTATATTATTAAAAAGGCTCGTTGTCAGCCTGTAGAAGTTAAACTCGAAAAAATTCTCTGATGACCAAAAGGGCAGCCCGATGCATGAAACACCGGCATTGATGCAGGATTTGGGGAAGGACCATACCCAAAGCAGGGGCGGAGCTACCACTTTAGTTACATGTTCGAATGAATCCAATAACTTTTGTTTAGACCCTATATTTGCATAAGAAAATTCATTAAGTATGTATAAATATTCAATTGCGAACCTAGTGACAAAAATAAATTATGGGTTCAGAGACATTCAGAACCCATAAACTTCAAATTCCCGCTCTCTAACTCAAAGGGGTCGGATGTGATGTAGGTAGCCTAATCTGATACAAGCATTAATGACTAATTTCTTGGCTCGAACCCATAATTTATAAGTCACACGAAAATAAGTTTACCGTTGCTCCACGGTCTTCTCTCTCCGATGACCGAGCCATGCAATCAGCCAAGTAACTCCAAAAAAAAAAACAAAAAAAAAATTGGAAAACAAATTTAACGTTGGCAGACAATTTATGAACACATAAAACAGATAAATACTGTAAATCATACTATCACTATCATTTCCTCATAACATAGAGTGAGAGAGTGTATTAGTTCTGTTGCTATTCCTAGCTAGTCAATAAACGTAACAAGTGAGACCTTGACATATGCTTTTGCAATATATGCATGCATGAATAACTAGGGCATGTACAACTTGTTTCCACATTTGCACCTCCAAGCTTCTGGGTAGTACTCCGTAGTCACCGGAGTCCCTGGCGGCACCGCCACGTGGATCGGCCGGCATGGCGTGCATCTGCCGCATTTTGACATGCACCGCGGCGGCGATGACCCGAGTCCGCCTAAAATCCTCCTTGTAGTACTTCCCGTGTTTAATTTCTGCCTCAATAAACATCAAGGTATTGTTCACATAAATAAAAAATAAAAAAAGAGAGATAATTTCTAACATGATAGAAAGAATCTTCACATTTGGGCATCAAATATTATTACAATTCAATTTATGCAAATGGTGGTTTAGTTATTAGTTTTTGAATTTCAAATATTTAAAATACTAGTGAAATATAAAATTGATTTTTTACGAGTATTTCAAGTAAAGAATTGCTTCGGTCATGAATTTTCAACTTTCACAATTTTTTTCTAGGTGAAGTTCATATACAAACACGATAACTCTATTTTTTTCTTTAGTATTTTTAGGTGATCAGTAACTCAAAATGTCACTAGTTAACCTATGGCCTCGGGCTAAGAGTTCACGAGTATATATATATATATATATATATATATATATATATATATATATGTGTGTGTGTAAATATATATTGTATATTTATTAGTTTAATATAAACATTATATATAAAAAAAGTTATCCGATATAGATGATAATGAAGCAGAAGGGGAGCCTTGAAACAATAATAAAATTGTCTATGTGTGACCTATAAGTCACGAGATCGAATCATAGAAGTCGTCATTAATATTTATATTACGATAGACTATCTACGTCACACCCTGTAAAATACGACCCGACGTAAATACAAAATACTTTATACACGAAACTACTGCCGTACTAAACAATTACGAAGAAAGATAGGAACATGGTTCCGTTGAATGCGCCGGTTGAAGTTTTGAAGACAAGAAGACCGATTAAGATGAGGACAAATTAAGACTGTGTCTTTCATCTAGATGTTAGCGTGCACGCCTTGACTTTTCCTATTGTTGGATGGACTTGATCATTGGAAAAAGCAAGGGGAAAATTTCTGAGTTATAATTTTTTAAGTAATTAAAAAATTTAACTTTTTGGGAACCATGTTATTTATAATAATGATAACATTTCAAAAAGTCTAAAATAATTTAAAGAATGGATAGATAATGATAAAAGTAAAATAGGAAAAAAATTATTTTTATCTTAATTTGCTAAATTAGACAAGTAAAAATTAAAATTTATATATTTTATATAATAGACAAGTAAAGTAAAATATATATTTGAGATAGATAATACTAAGTGCCCGTTTGGACATAAAATTTGATGGAAGATTTTTCTAAAAAAAATTACTTTTTTCAAAATTAACGTTTGTTCATAAAATTTCTAATTTTCACTTGAAGATGCATTTGAAAATTTTCGAAAATTTGAAACACTATAAAAAGTTATTTTTCAAAATTTTCACTAAAATTACTCACAAAACTTCAAAAACAACCCAAACTAAAATTTATGTCCAAACACAACTCTAAATTTCAAATACAAAGAGCCCATTTGGCCACGATTTTTTTTTTACTTTTTCTCAAAATATGAAAATAAGTGTCTGGCCATAAAATTTTCAACTTTCACTTGAAGAAAAACTTTGGAATTTTTTGAAAATTTATTAAACTCCAAAAAGTTGTTTTTCAAAATTTTTATTCAGATCACTCACAAATATTTAAAAACAACTCAAAATTATATTTATGTCCAAATACAACTTTAATTTTCTAATACCATTTTCACTTGAAAAAAAATTAACTTTTTTCAGAATTTTACAATTCTTATGTCCAAACGCCCACTAAGATATTCCCGATTAGGTAACCAAACCTAAATAGATTATTGTTTATGCTAAATGGGTACACATAATTGTCTGTAGTAAAATGTGAATTATTAGGATAAATAACTTGATAGTACTAATTAACGCACTAAAATCTCTATATATACAACAATTACTACTATTATCATTTTTACATTTTTAACGGGTGCATGAACACTAAAAAGACTAAAGCGGCTTCAAATACATAATAAACCTAAAGTAAATATACTAACATAAATAAAAGAAATTGCAATTAAATTTGTGTATATAACTAAAATTCTACTCTGACCATAGTTAGGAAATTAAATATAGTCAGTTAAGAACAGACCTGAAAGGAAAAATCAGCTTTAGCAGCGAACGCAAAATTGATTTCTGCAAAGATGAAAATGAAAAGAGCATGAAGTCAAAAAAGAAAATTTACACTTAGCCATAACTAATTAATGTTTAACATCTATAAACATTAAAAATATAAAATAAAAAATTATAAACTATCATGCCATCTTAATAATAATCAAAGATAACTACTAATAAATCAATAAAATTAGCAACCCGACAAAATAAAGCAAGTAACATCACAGTACATGTTAAATTGCATTGTTAGCACTAATAACAATAATGCAGCATTAATAACAAAAATATCTTAATGTCAATATAATGTGGACAAAGATCACTTTTAACCAGCGATCAAAATTATTTATATACGGTTATAGCAAAAGTATATAAAATTTATATATATATATATTAAAAATAGCTAATAATTTAAGAGCAGTTATACAACGTCATTTTTCTATAAAACTTCGCTCGAGAATAATTAAGAAACTGAAAGAAAGTTACACTTATCATATAAAGATACTTAAATTCTATATTATTTATTACTCCTCTGACTTTTATTTGTCATATTTCGCTTTTCAAAGTCAATTGGACTAATCATTGAAACTAAATTGCATTAAATTTTCTTAATATTTTAAAGTTATAATTTAAATATTCGAAAACTATGCGAAAAGTATTATAATTTATAATATTTTTCATATCAATACGATATAAAAACATATTAAAACGTTGGTCAAAGTTTACGCATTTTTACCTTGGAAAAGCGAAACGTGAAAATGAACGGAAGGAGTATATGGGCAGAGCTACCCTTGTTCAAAGGGAGTTAACCGACACCTTTTTCACCGGAAATTTAACGTGTAAATAAGTCAAAAAAATTATGTATATATACTACATATATCTTGATTAATCCCCTTTAACTTATTCATGGGTTACTTCTTTATATTTCAGACTATCTTTAAGGAAAATTCTGACTCTACTGACTATCTGATAAGTGTATGTTTAACTATGAAATTAAGCAGAAACTTACCCAAGAGACTTGTAGATTTGAGGGTGTTGTAGCCTGCAAAAACTGAGAGAAAGAAGAAAGAGATTGCAAAAAAGAGAAGGAGCTTTTTCTGTATAATAATCCTCCATCTAAAACTGCAGTAGTACTCCATTGGAGATCAAATGATGACCACAAAGATATATTATATAGTGATATTAAGACAAATTATCCCAAGATTAAATCAAGATCTGATAAATACATATCTGATAATTACTTTGATCATTCAACAAATAAGATTTTCTTTTTGGGATATATCCAAGATTTCTGTACAAGTGGTGGAGTAGTTGTATACTGTGAGTTTTTAGCAGAAAAAATTGAGGATGACTGAAGAGAGCAAAGACTAGAGATAGAGAGAAAGACTGTGTAGTTAAGAAAGTAGAAGAAATAGTGGGAAAATGCAGAAAGAAGGTAGAAAGAAAAAATTTACAATCTTATACACATGGATAATGTAGAACTCATATTATCAGTATATATAATTAAAGTCCTTTTATACCCGTGTAGTTTGGCATGTAATAGCAGGTTTGTTACTATGTTTGTTGGGTTATCAATTACTATATAATAAAGGTATTTTGTAATTACTTTAAAGTTAATCTGATTATGTAAATATTTTTTACACTTCGGGCATAGCCAACTCCCATAGTTTGACGGGCAGTGTGTACAAGGCCCGGGAACAAATTCACCGTCATATGGTTAACCGACGATTATTAGCGATTCTGGTTATCAGTAAATTGATGATAAACTAGGAACTCATGTTTTTAATTATATTTCACACTCTAATTGCTATACTTTGATTGTAATTGAGTCTAATTGCTAGTACTTTATACTTATTACGTGTGTTATGCCGTGTAGGATATGATTTCGAGTGAAGAAGTAAGCTTGGAGCTAAAATGGATGATTAAGTTTGGAGCTAAAATGGATAATTTGGAGCTTTGAAGTCTGAGTAGAAGCTCAAGAAATTAAGTCGAGATCACGTTCGGGAGTCAAGGACCAAGTCTGGATATTAAAAAGTGAGAAAAAATTACTCTAAGAAAACTGCACTACCACGCCGCGAGGCACAAGGTGATAGTGCAAAATTCCTGCAAAGTGAAAAAAATCTGCTCTCTGAACTTTTCCATTGGCGCGGCGCATGGGGCGTCGCACCTGTATAATTTTCTTAGAGTGTTTTCCCGTTTTGGCTTAGAAAGGATAGTTTCGTCCGGACCCGCTTATACATGGTATAAATATATCAAAAATACATTTTTGTTGGGACTTTTGACCTACGAAAGATTAGAAGAGCATTGGAGACTCTAAAACACAAGAATTCATCATTCTTTCCTCAACTCAACACCCAAGTTTGGATTGAATTCATATTTTTTTAATCTTTAACTTTCTTTGTGAGGACTTTTTCCATGATTATGGAGTAGTTTACTTTAAGGTTTGACTGTTATGGTATTTCGATTGATATTTGTGAATTTTAACTCTAGTTGTCTGCATGAATTCATTTATTGAGCTTTGAATTGATTGCAAGTTTGTTCACCGAATTATTTAATCGAAAGATGAATATTTTAGGTGATTATCCTTGCATTATCTGTGTCACAACCCAATTTTTATTATAGGTCGTGATAGCGCCCAATGTCATCGCTAGGCAAGCCAACGGTGAACTACCCATTTAATTATTTATTTTAATATTTTTAAAGTCTTTGGGGTTTCTTTTTTGCACTTAATAAGAAAACAAATAGTAAGTGAACGTAGTAATGTAAAGCATAAACTAAACGTGAAAGTAAGATAGCAAAATAAATAATCAAAACCCATGAGTGTTCACTAGAACTTCCAAAATTCGGTGTCAAAAGTGCACGAGAATCTAATAGAATATACAAAAACTCTCTAAAAACTACTGTCTGAAACAAAATAGACAAAAATGATAAAACATAACAATAGAAGGTTCCGGGTGCTGCAGAACAGAGCATAACAAACAGCTCACCACTACGCCTCCAGGTAATGCGGATGCACGCCCAAACGAACTCCAGATGCACCTGCCTCAGAACCTGCACAATATGTGCAGAAGTGTAGCGTGAGTACATAAACAACATATACCCAGTAAGTATCTAGTCTAACCTCGAAGAAGTAGTGACGAGGGGTCGACATCGACACTTAATAATGGGCAATATACATAATGTGCAAGAATATTAAATAGGCATGCGCAACATCAATAATGGAATAAGAGGCAACAACTAAATGATCCTTTAACAAAATAACAATTAAAATCTCCAACTATCACATGCTAATCTCAACAAGTAAGGGGCCAACATGTATTTATAAATTTTCAAGTCATGAAAGACATATCAAGTATAATAGGACTGCGAGTGACAATACGCACGAGTTATGCCGGGTCTACGGCCCGTTCCATAATAATCGTGTACATACACTACCGAGGTCGTATGCCCCAATCTATGGATGCATCCCATAATATATATAAATATTGCCGAGGCGTTCCGCCCAATCCGCAGGAATAAGAAAACTCTTCAGATTACAAATTATGTATTTACAACTCCAAGGTAAACCCACCAAAGAATATAAATTTCCATCAATAATTAAATATTTCACCAAATCTATAAGTAATGAAGCTCGATTTAACATAATATTTAACCAATTTTTACTTATTAATTCAAGCAATTAAAGAAGCAAGTTGAGTTCAAATAGTGCAAATAATAGCATAATAAAGGCTTATGTCTACCCGACATAACATGAATTTTAGCTACGCACGGACTCTCGTCACCTCGTGCGTATGTAGCACTCATAACTAGTAGCAAATAACAATTTAAACACCTATGGGGTTAATTCCCTCTTACAAGGTTAGGCAAGAGACTTGCCTCGTTCTCAAGTTTACTTTTCGGTCAACAAATCACTCTAAAAGCCTCAAGTCGATGCCAAATAATCCGAAACTAGACAAAGGTTGTACAAACTAATTAATAATTTCTCAAAAGTTCATAATTTAACTATTAGAGTAATTACCCACACAATTTAGAAGATTCCTAAAATTTACACACGGGCTCACATGCTCGGATTCCAGAAATTTTTGTAAGTAATTGTTACCAACAACCTCACGAACACAAATATATAATTTCTACTCAATTCAACAACCATTTTCGTGGTCTAATCCCCTTTTTATCAAAATCTATATTTTTCAACAAAATACTTTTTTTTTTATAATTTCCATGTTAAGATCTACCCATAATCTATGTATTAAACTCACATTGTCTAGAATACACTTACCTCAAAATGCTAGGCGAAAATCCCTCTCTAAAAAGCTCCAAAATTGGCCACAAGATGAGAGAAATAAACAAAAGAGGCCAAAGTCCCATTTTAATAAAGTCTCTACCCATGGTTCCTTCTTTGTGATCGCGGAAGAGGCCTCGCTATTGCAATGACAAATTGCCCAGGCCCCAGAAAATGTGTTTCGCGTACGCGAAGAAGGCCCTGCGATCACGAAGGCGTGCCTGACCAAATCTTCGTGAACGCGACCCTACCTTCACGAACGCGAAGGACAATTGGCTAGCGACCCCCAAACCTAACTTCTTCTACGCGAACGTGGGCACAAGTATGAGAACGCGATAAACAATGGCCCAGAGCATTGCGATCGCGAGCTCTCCTTCATGAACGTGTAGAACAAAACCTCATCCAGTCTTATTCCTTCATCGCGAACGCGAGAAAATCTCCGCGTTCGCGAAGAAGGAAACCAGAACCAGCAAGTGCAGAAGTTTTGGACTTAGCTCCGGGCGGTCCGAAACATACCCGAACCACTCGGGGACCCCGTCCAACTGCACCAATAAGTCCATAAATATAATACGGACCTACTCAAATCCTCGGAATGCATAAAACAATATAAAAACTAAGAATCGCACCTCAAAACCAAATCGAATCAACTTATAAACTTCAAACTTCTCAACTAGCTCTGAACGTGCTGAATAATACTTGTACTACCCGGAATCACCTCAAATTTTGCGTACAAGTCATAAATCACCATACGGAACTATACTCAAGCTCGGAATCCCAAACGGACCTTGATAACTCCAAACCAAATTTAAAGAACTAGAAAACCTTCAATGAACCAACTTTCAACATTAAGCGTCGAAATGCTCCCGGATTACCCGAAATCCGATTCGAACACACGTCATACGACCTTATTTGAACCATCAAATCCTGGTTCCAAAGTCATTTACTCAAATATTGTCTCAAGTCAAACTTGGCCATCATAGGCCACTATTAAGGAACTAATTGTTCCGATTTTAACCCGAACCCTTCCAAACCTAAATCAACCATTCCCGCAAGTTATAAAATATTAAAAATATATACGGGGAGTCTTAATTAGGGGAACGGAGATCTAAAAAGTAAAACGACCGATCGGGTCGTTACAATCTACTTTGGTTTAATTTAGTGATTCTTTTAAGTAATTGAAAGAGCTTGTTGAATTGTTGACTAAATCAAGTTAGGAGAATATTCGAGAGACGTTTTTCTAAAGACTCCATTAACGTATTCTTGCATATTTTCACATGGCTTTATATTAATTCACCTCGTAGAGTTAAGATTTAATCGAGAGAGGAGTCTTGGTTACATGTTTGAACTAATCATTAAATGAATTCGTGAGAATCATTAGAATATTAGAGTGAACTGAACTAGAGTTAGATCTCGAAAAGCTATCTTGCACCTATCCTTTCACGACCCTTATTTCTCCGATTGGTTATTTCAGTGTTGCTCAAATCTTGTCTTTCCTTGATTAATTGTTAATTAATTTAATTTTAATAGTTAATTTTAGTTCAAAATCACTCAAATCAAGTGTTGATCATCCTAAATGGCGTTAAACTAGAAATTACTCAAACATCATTTAAATTCAATCTCTATGGAGACGATAGCAAGCATCAATTTCTTGTTGTGTTTTGTGCTCGACATACATAAAACTTGAAACTTTTAATCAGTGATAGCAAGTCAATTATAATCTTTATCATTTTACATATGAGTTTAAGTTATGGGAATTAACCGTATATAGATATTTTACATCATCTTAAGTTGACAAATAACAATAGATAACTTTCTATAACAAGCTTACTAAGCTAACTGGAAATAAAGTAATAACCTAATATAGTTGATTATATTTTAATACTAGTGTAAAACTTTTTTATACTGTTAGTGTAATAACTTAAAGCTATTAAGAATTAATGTTTATCGTAGAGATATATTTGTGATTGTTTTATCCGTTTAACTTCTATTAAAAAATTCGTAGTACCAGTAAATGTAAGTTAAGTTATTTACACCGTCGGTCATTTTCCTCTGTTTTACCATCTCTGGGTCTCAGATTCTCCTGCAGACATTTCCCTAGTAGCTTCAAGAATTACCCAACACAGTAACAAATTTCAACAACTTCCCAGCCAGTCATTCTGCAAAAATTTACTCTCCTTTTCCATAAATAGGTACTATAGTACTAAAAATAGTTTGCAATATAACTATATAAGTACCAGGAATACTTCTGATTACTAATTGATTACTGTTTTGCAGTAGTATTAATTTTACGATATAGTTAATCAGCTTATAAATAGTTTAAATTTAATGTAGCGACATTATAAAAAAAATATTTACAAACGAGTCACTTAAATGATAATTACAGATAAATTTCTATAATAAGCATCAATTGATAACATGATAAAAATTGTAACCAACCTACTATCACACTTTAAACTGCTTTAATAGTATGAAAATTAAACTCAAATGGTCATACCTTTTAGTCTACAGAAAAAAAAATTGGAAAACCTTCTATTCAACCCATCATTTTCTGCTATACAAGCATATGGAGAGAGATAGAATCACAATCTAATCCAAAGATCTTCTGTTGAAAAGGATAACACTTAATGTCTATATTTAAGCCTACATATATTCCACAAGAAATTGACCTGAACATATATATATATATGTGTCCATGTGTTGTCTTAATATACTTGTATTTTACCAACAAGGATTCACTACTAGAAAAATATTAATTAGAGGGTCACCAAGTACAGTGGTGACAGCCCCCCCCCCCGTGTGGTTTCATATTTTTGTAATTTTTAGGTTATTAGTTCCGGCATACGGGCAAGCAGCGGGGATTCACCACTGGTTGCCGTTAGCAAGGGACAACGGGAATTTGGAAGGAGAGCGTCAGGCCTCGCTGATAAAGATAACTTTTATATTATTTGTAATTATTCATTTATGTAGTTATCTTGTAGAATTCTTGTACAACTTGTACTCTCGTATATGTATAAATACATGGTTATGTGGCCTTAGCAGTTAAGCTGGCCATCATATGCTTAATCTCATCTTGGTATCAGAGGCCATAAAGATCCATATCAATGGTCTCAAAAATTTCCTCTCTCCACCACCCAAACAAGCATGACTCAATCTTCACTTGGTCTTCCCATTCTCCCTCCAACCGTTTCTAATATCAAAGGTTTTGTCCCTGTTAAATTAACATACATCAATTATCTTACTTGGAAGAAAGTTTTTCTTACTGTTCTTAAAAGTCACAATCTTCTATCCCTAGTAGATGGAATCGTGTCATGCCCCTCACAAGATAATGCAGATTATAAGTTATGGATTCAGTGTGATACTATCGCAATGAGTTGGATTAATGCAATACTTTCTCCAGCAGTTCTTGACACTCTTCTTAACTATGGTTGTGAGACATCCAAAGAAGCTTGGGATACACTTGCCTCCCTCTACCTTGACCAAGTTTCCTCTTCTTCAATCCATTTGAAGTCCAAGTTCCAAAACTTCAAGAAAGCTTCTCTATCCATGGAGGATTATTTACAACAAATTCATTTTATTGTTTGCCCTCTTTGAGCAATTGGAAACCCTGTAACTGACGAGGACTTAGTTACTCAAGCACTGCAAGGATTGCCTCCCTCTTATCACACTTTTGTTTCTGGCCTAAATGCTACTGGTACTCTTCCTTCATTTATCGCGTTGCGACCCTTATTGCTTACTGAAGAAGCCCATATTAAGGCAGTCACTCCAGATGAATCAAACTCACAAACGGCTTTGACAGCATCGACTTAGGCTAAAGGTTCATATGATGCTCCCTCTCCATATCAAAGTTCATATTCTAGAGGATAAAATAATGGTCGTGGACGAGGTAGGACCAATAGAGGCTACAATTTTAGGGGTCGTGGCAAAGTAACCAACATTCTCCTCGCTCTTTTTCTCCTCAATGGCCTGGTTTTCAATCATCCTTTCGCCATCCCTCACCTATGGCTGGGGTATTGGGATGTCCCCCCTTTAATCCCTCTAATCAGTGCCAAATTTGCTTTCATTTTAATTATACTGCGCTTGAATACAAAAATAAATTTAATCATTCTTATGCTTCTAATGTGCCACCTAAGTCTTTTGCAGCTATTAGCCTGGAAGAAGTTCGTCCTACTACTTGGTATCCTGACTCTGGAGCTTCAGCCCATATGACCCATGATCCCACTGTTTTATCGTCTCCTTCCTCCTACACCGGATTATCCCAGGTCATGGTTGGTAATGGTAATCTCCTTCCTATTCTCTCTACCGGCACTTCAACCATTCCTACATCTTCTAGGACTCTACCTTTACGCAATGTTCTATGTGTCCCTTCTCTCGAGGAAAAATCTCCTTTCTATTCAACGACTTTGTGCTGATAATGATTGCGCTATTCAGTTTACTGACACTGGTTTTTTTGTTAAAGACAAGAAGACCAATCAAGTATTGCTCCACCATGATAATGTTGGGTCACTTTACCCTTTTCAAGTTATTCCATCTTCGTCCTCTCACCTTTCTCTTTCCTGTGATGTTTCGTCTCCTACAATTTGGCATCAAAGGCTCGGGCACCTTGGTCAAAGATCTCTTACTACTTTAGTTCATAGAAAGTTAATTCCTTATGTTTCATCTTTTGACAATAATTCTTGTATTGTTTGTCATTTGGGCAAACAAACAAAATTGTAGTTTAATCTTTCAGTTAGTCGTGCAAATAAACCTTTTGTTCTAGTTCATTCTGATGTAGGCAAGCTCCCTTACCCTCAAATTCTGATTAGCGTTACTACATTCTTTTTCTTGATGATTACACCAAATTTTCTTGGATTTATTTGATGCACGACAAATCTGAGGCCTTTGACAAATTCAAAGAATTCTATTTTATGGTTGCTATATTTTTCATTCTTCTATTTCGTATTTTCAATCAGATGGAGGAAAGGAATATGATAATCACAAATTTCAAAGTTTCTTTAAGGACCGTGGCATCCTTCATCGTTTCTCTTGTCCTCACACCTCTGTCCAAAATGGACGTGCAGAGAGGAAACATCGTCATATTAATAATATTTTGCGATGTCTTTTATTTCAAGCTTCTATGCCATTATCCTTTTGGGAAGATGCTTGTCTTTCTGCTACTCATTTAATCAATATTTTCCCTCTTCCAGTTCTTAACTTTAGTTCACCTTATGAAATGCTTTTTGGGTGTTCCCCAGATTATAACCTTTTTAAAGTTTTTGGTTGCTTATGTTTTCCATTTACTGCTCTTGGTCATAAAAATAAATTCGAACCTCGTTCAATTCTATGCTTGTTTCTGGGAACTTCCACCAAGCACAAAAGTTTCAAGTGCTTGGATCCTACTACAAATAAAGTTCTAATTTCTAGGCATGTTAAATTTGTCAAATACATATTTCCGTATCTCTCAATGTTTCCTAGTAACTCCCAGGCTCCTTTTCTCTTAAAAGATACTGATTTCAAATCACCTAATCTTGATTATTCTCCCACGCTTTTCTCCTCTCAAAATGATATTACACATAACTTATCTGATAACTTAAATGCAACCTCTTATAAGAAGTCTTCCCCTTCAATGCATGTTTTACATGATAACTCACCCACAAAATTTTCGAATTCAAAGTTAAGTGAGTTTTCCTCTGCTTCATCTCCTATTTTTTCGAGGACAGTTGAACAAGACTTACCTTCTTCCTATACTTCTAGTAATCTACAAGAAGAGTTATCCCTTTCTTCCCACGATTCTTTCGCAACTTTAAGTTCCAAGTCAATTACAACTTCTCATTCTCATATTCCTCACTCTCGTGGAAATTTAATCACAAATTCTCATCATCCTATCTTATCTAATATCTCCACATCTCCTGAAGGCATCTTATCACAATCTCCTTCTAATTTATCTTTATATTCACCTTCTGCATTATCCCGTCAGATTTCTTATTCAAATGTCGTTCCTACTTTTTCTCCTCAACCACTTCCGACTCCTACACGTACTCACAAGATGGTCACCAGAGCAATGACTGGTTCACTTAAACCTCATATCCTTCCATCTATATCTGCTTGTATTTCCTCTTCCTTGTCTGAACCAACTTCTTATGCTCAAGCTATTAAGGATCTACGCTGGCAACGTGCAATGAGTGATGAGTATAATGCTCTTATTCAAAATAACACTTGGAAATTAGTTCCTCCTCCCCCAGATGCAAATATCATCGGTAATAAATGGGTCTTTAAAATTAAATATTGTTCTAAGGAGCTATTGACAGGTTCTAAGCAAGATTAGTTGCTCAAGGATTCTCGCAACAACCAGGGTTGGACTACAACCAAACATTTGCTCCTGTGATCAAATTGAGTACAGTTCGTCTTGTACTATCCCTAGCTCTACAACGAGGGTGATCGATGCATCAACTTGATGTTTTAAATGCCTTCCTTCTTGGTGAACTGAATGAGGATGTTTTCATAAGACAACCTAAGGATTTTGATAATCCTGATTACCCTACTCATGTATGTAAATTAAAGCGATCTTTATATGGTTTGAAGCAATCGCCCAGGGCTTTGTTCCCTAGGCAAGCAACATTTTTGTTGGATCTTGGTTTTAAACAGTCTAACTCTGACCATCATATTTATTTTTCAGAATGATGATGAAATCATAGTTCTATTAATTTATATGGATGACATTGTTGTATTTGGATCCTCTAAGAATCTCAATCATCAATTTGTCTCTTCCATGCACTCTGAGTTTTCCATGAAGGATTTGGGTCCTTTGAGATATTTTCTTGGTGTGGAATTAGTCCCGAATTCAGATGGTCTTTTGTTGTTACAGTGTAAGTATATCAATGATATCCTAACACGCTTTGATTTAGCCCAAACAAAGCCTGTTCTTACCCTTCTTCATAGCAAGATGGGCTGGAATTCTGTTGAGAGTCAATTGCTTGATGATGTTTCTATTTTTCGACAAATGGTTGGTAGCCTTCAATACTTATCTTTTACAAGGCTAGATATCCAATTTGCAGTTAACTTTGCTTCACAATTTCTTTACAAGCCTCGCCAGATTCATCTACAAGCAGTCAAGTGCATCTTTCGCTATCTCAAGGGCACTATTAGAAATGGACTACAACTTTATGCTCGTTCTCCTTTGTCGCTTACTATATATTCCGACTCTGATTGGGCTGGATGCACAACTACTAGGCGATCAACCTCTGGTTTCTATATTTTCCTTGGAGATAACTTAATCTCTTGGGCAGCAAAGAAGCAACATACTGTGGCTAGATCAAGTACTGAAGCTGAGTATAGAGCTCCAGCTACAGCAACAGTGGAGGCTACTTGGTTGCAGTTTCTTCTTCGTGATCTAGTCATTTTTCTTAAAACTCCTATGATAGCTAAGTGTGATAACATTGGTGCTATATATTTAACTCATAATCTTGTCTATCATTCTCGTTCTAAGCATGTGGCTTTGGATTATCATTTTATTCATGAAAAAGTGAAACAAGGCAATCTCATTGTTTCTCATGTTCACACATCTCAGCAATTGGCAGACTTGTTCACCAAAGTACTTTCTTCTACAAGGTTTCAGGATCTTCTCAACAATCTTCATGTTCGTTCCTCCCCTTTTGATTGAGGGAGAGTGATAGAGATAACTTTTATATTATTTGTAATTATCCATTTATGTAGTTATCTTGTAGAATCCTTGTACAACTTGTACTCTTGTATATGTATAAATACATGGTTATGTGGCCTTAACAGTTAAGTTGGCCATCATATGCTTAATCTCATCTCTCGCAATCTCGGGTGTATTACCAAGTTAAATTTCCAGGTTCTATTCTCTGGAGTACGTATCTCCCGTTCTCGTGACCCCTTCCCTCCTGTGTTAACTTATTGTTGCCATATTAGTTATTTTTAGTCTAGTCTAGTCAAAGTATTAGCGTGTCGGTAGTTACAACTTGTTTTCTTAGCGATTTTCTTAGTTTACCATAGGTATTNGCAAGGGGGTAAGGGGGCAAGGGAGCCTATAGGTTGAGAATTGGGTCGGGGAACATAGGAACGCTAACAGGTAAATCTATCGAGTTGGCGAAGATTCCCCGGAAGAGAATGGTCAATATAGCATGTGTTCAGGAAACTAGATGGGTAGGATCGAAGGCGAAGAATGCGTATGGGTTTAAATTATGGTATTCTAGAGGCTCGAAGGGTAAGAACGGAGTGGGTATTTTGGTGGACAGGGAACTTAGAGAGATGGTGGTAGAGGTTAGGCGGGTGAGCGATAGATTAATGGCTATTAAGTTAGTGGTTGGTGGGCTCACTCTAAATTTCATTAGCACTTACGCTTCTCAAATGGGCTTGGATAAGGAAGTCAAGAGGCGTTTCTGGGAGGGTTTGAATGAGGTGGTGCGTGGTATTCCACCCACGGAGAAGCTATTTGTAGGAGGAGGTTTCAACGGGCATATCGGGACATCTGCTGGTGGCTATGGTAAGGTTCATTGCAGCTTTGGCTTTGGGGATAGGAATAGAGGTGACACCTCTCTATCGGATTTCACTAAGGCTTTTGAGTTGGTGATTGCGAACTCTAGTTTTCCAAAGAGGGAGGAGCACTTGGTTACTTTTCAAAGTTCGGGGGCTAAGACCCAGATTGACTATCTACTCCTAAGGAGGAGTGATAGAGGGTTGTGCAAGGATTGCAAGGTTATACTAAGTGAGATACTCACGACCCAACATAGGTTTTTGGTGATGGACGTTGGCATCATGATAAGGAGGAAGAAGAACGTGGTTCGGGGTCGTCCGAGGATTAGGTAGGGTGCCTTAACGAATGATAAGCCTCAAGAGTTTGAGGGGAGGTTGTTGGCTATGGGGGACTGGAAGAGTAGTGGGGATGCGAGTGGTGTGTGGAAAATGACGACGAACTGTATAAGGGAGGTTGCAAGAAAGTGTTAGGGGTCTCGAAGGGTTACTCGGGTGGTCACAAGAGCGACTGGTGGTGGAAAGCCGAGGTCCAAGGAAAGGTGGAAGAAAAGAAAGTAGCGTATCAGAGGTTAGTGGAGAGTACAGACGAGGAGTAAAGGAGGATGAACAGAGAATGATACAAGACAACTAGAAAGGTGGCGAAGTTAGCAGTTATAGAGGCTAAAACTGTTAGTGTTTGGTCGCCTGTACGAGGAATTGGGGGACAAAGGCAGGGACAAGAAGTTATTCCGATTAGCCAAGGCGAGAGAGAGGATGGCTCGTGATCTAGATCAAGTGAGGTGCATTAAGGATGAGGAAGGCAAAGTGTTGATGGAAGATGCTCAGATGAAGTGGAGATGATAGACTTATTTTCATAAACTGTTGAATGATGGAGGGGACATAGATATTGTGTTAGGGGATTTGGAGCACTCCGAGAGTCACCGAGATTTTAGCTACTATAGGCGCATTAAGGTCTAGGAGGTCGTGGGGCTATGCATAAGATGCGCAGGGTCAGAGCGACCGGGCCCGACGAGATTCCGGTGGAATTCTGGAGGTCGGTGGGTAGAGCAGGATTGGAGTGGCTAACTGGGCTGTTTAATATTATTTCTAGGACGAAAAAGATGACATAAGAATAGAGGTAGAGTACGATGGTACCATTATACAAGAACAGAGGTGATATCTAGAACTGTAACAACTATAGAGGTATCAAGTTACTAAGTCATACCATGAAGGTTTATGAGAGGGTAGTGGAAGTGAGGGTGAGGAGGTCGGTGTCGATATTCGATAACCAATTTGGGTTCATGCCTGGTCGTTCTACTACGGAAGCTATCCATTTTATAAGGAGGTTGGTTGAACTGTACATGGATAGGAAGAAGGATTTTCACATGGTGTTTTATTGACCTAGAAAAAAGCATATGACAAGGTCCCCAGGGAAGTTTTTTGGGGATGCTTGGAGGTGAAAGGTATTCTGGTTGCTTATATTAGGGTGATTAAATACATGTATGATGGAGCTAAGACTCAGGTTAGGACAGTGGGGGGCGACTCGGAGCATTTTCCGGTTGTTATGGGTTTACACCAAGGATCGGTGCTCAGTCTGTTCTTATTTGCCCTGGCGATGGACGCACTAACACACCATATCCAAGGGGAGGTGCCATGGTGTATGTTATTCGCCGATGATATTGTCCTGATCGATGAGACGTGAAGCGGTGTTAACGAGAGATTGGAAGTTTGGAGACATACCATTGAGTCTAGAGATTTCAAGTTGAGCAGGACTAAGACAGAATACGTGGAGTGCAAGTTCAACGACGTTTCGGGAGAAGCAGACATGGACGTGAGGCTTGTCTCTCAAGTTATTCCCAAGAAAGGGGGCTTCAAGTATCTGGGGTCAGTTATTTAGGAGGATGAAGAGATTAACGAGGATGTTACGCACCGTATAGGGATGGGGTGGATGAAATGGAGGCTAGCGTCTGGCGTCTTGTGCAATAGGAAGGTGCCCCAGACACTTAAAGGTAAGTTTTATAGAGTGGTGGTTAGACCAGCCATGATGTATGGTGCTGAGTGTTGGCCGGTCAAGAATTCTCATATCCAGAAGATGAAAGTTGCAGAAATGAGGATGTTGAGATGGATGTGCGGGACTGGAAAAGATTAGGAATGAAGATATCCAGGTGAAGGTGGGTGTGGCCCCCATAGAAGACAAGATGTGGGAAGCTAGGCTTAGATGGTTCTGACATGTGCAGAGGTGAAGTATGGATGCCCCGGTTAGGAGGTGTGAACGGCTGGCCTTGACAGGTGTGAGAAAAGGTAGAGGGCGGCCAAAGAAATATTGAGGAGAAGTGATCAGGCAGGACCTGGGACGGCTTCAGATTGCCGCGGACATGGCCCTTGATAGAAAGTTGTGGAGAGCTAGCATTAAAGTTGTAGGTTAGGAAGTAGGAGTCTAGCATGGTTCTGTCTTAGATTGCTAGTGGCTCTTGTTGTATCCATATTACTCCATTGTGCCGGTAGTATTGTGTCATTGTTACTGCTTATTGTTACTGCTAATTTTCTCTCTACTTTCTGGTTATTACGTTGCTGATGTTATCTTTCGTTCTTGCTTGCTTCCTCTGATATTACTGCACCACTGTCTTTTCTCATCTTCTTGAGCCGAGAGTCTATCGGAAATAGTCTCTCTACTCCTCGGGAGTAGGGGTAAGATCTGCATACACACTACCCTCCCAGACCTTACTTGTAAGATTCAACTGGGTTGTTGTTGTTGTTGTTGTCGTCAATGCGACTAAACTTGCGCCTGAAGTAGTCGGAAAATGGTTGTAATTTTATCACTTATTTTTCTTAAATAATATCGACCGCTATTCCGACTAAAGCAGTAGAAAAACAACATGAGAATTTTCCGCGTTCACATTTGTGATCGATTCAGTCAGAAGTGAAAAGTCAAAAAGATACATTGACAAAAAAACTGACTGCGCCAGTCGAAAATATAAAATTTAATCAAAGACACTAATATTTTGTATTCATTAGTTAATTAATAAATGTGTGCACGAAAAACACACATATTATATTCTTTGATTTACCATTTTCCAATTTATCCAAACATTTGGGGGTAAACAATAGTTTAACTTTCATAGAAATAATTGTGCGCCACTTGAAGACAGATCTTTTGATACGAGTTCACCAGTTCAATTGAAAAAATAACTTTTGAATGATGTATAGATAAAAACATACTAAAAATATCAAGTATTAAATGTAAACCCATAATTGTAACTAAGCGTGTACATAGATCGGATTGGTTCAGATTTTTTAATTACCAAACAAAATTAATGGTGTCGGATTTTTAAATCTATAATTCAAATCAAACCAACAAAGTTGGGTTTTTCAATCTCGGGTTTTTAGGGTTTTTTCGAATTTTCAGATTTTTTTCGGTAAAGTATTCATAGCACAAAATATGTAAGTTTTGCTCCCAATATTTCTTTAATCCTAGTAGGATACAATTATATGAGGTATTTTTTACAAAAATAACACAATAATATGAGATGAGTCATAGCATTATACTAAAATATTCAATAACAAAAATAATAAAACCAAATAAAATAAATATTCTAATTAATAAGCCATAATGAAAATGAACACAATCTAAAAGTATTATATAAGTCATGCTAAAATAAATACAGCTAATAAGTACTATGCATTAATTACATGAGTTAGCACTAACGAAAAAGATAAACTAAGTTATGCATTTTCATTATAAACCAATGCAAAAAAATTTAAATAAAATAGATATCCAACACTACTGTCATTCCCTAATGTTGAATTGAATTTATTTTGTTAGCATTAATATTGATTCGAACTTTATTTGAGTTGCTACATTTATGGACTATTAAATATAGAGAAATTTTCAGAAACCACTATGTTTTAGTGATTATTAGCTTGCTATAGCTACCATTTAGTAAATTACTTCCTATAGCAATGTTTTCAGTTGTTATAAATTGTATTCGATGTATTTTTCCTACTGTATTCATGGATACAGTAGCAAAACTCGGCGAAAAACAGGGGAGTCTAGCTAAGCAGAGAATGTATTCGACTGTATTCGCGAGTTGTATTTGTGAATACAGTAACGCAATTTGTAAGAAAAAAAGGTCTTCAACTGTTTAAAAACGGTAAGTGAATCAATTAATGCGATAGACTCCTAATATAACTCAACAAACACAATTATAACACATAAAATTTGTATTTTCCAGTTAAAGAAAAGATTCTCAATCGAAAACACCCCAAAAACAGAGCAATCTCAGAGATTCAATCCATCCTTTCTTTTATTAGTGGTATCTTTACTAAAATATTTTTTAGTGGTATCTTTACAACTAGATTTATATATTGAAATTATATAACTACATTGAATATAGCTAAATACATAAAAATACATTGAATACATAGCATGTTATCTATAGTGCAAAAACATATGAATACATACTGCAAATACATTTGAGTACATAAATTATATTAATTAAAAAAATATATGAATACATTCTACAATACATTGAATACATACTGCTGAATATATACTGATGGACAAAATAGTGAAATAAAGTGAAGCTTTGAAATTATATAATTACATTGAATACAGTGAATATATTAAAAAAGTAGAAAAAACTAAAGAAAGTGAATACAATGAAATACATGAAATACAGTGAGATACACTGAAATACAATGAAAAAAAGGTAACTAACTCTTCAAGTTCCTCAGCCCCAAACTCCGTCCCCAATCCATTGATATCCAGGCCGCCGCCATGTGGGGCATCACTGCCGGTTAAATGAAGACAGTTGTTGAAGAAACATCAATTTAAAGGATCAAACGGAAACTAGAGATAAAACTTCTTCAGATCTCACAAGGCAAACATGCACAATCAATGCAAAATCTAAAAAAAATTTAGAATGTGTAACAAAATTGTGTGAAAGAAATCGTCTGCTGGATGAGGGAGTAGGGGTGACACAACAAGGAAGGTGGGAAGTGGTAGCCTGTCGGATCTGTCGTTGGCAAAACACAGCCCCTGCTAGGGTTTCTAAAAGCAGGGGAGGAAAAAACCGGGGAAAAAAGAGAAGAAAGAGGAAAGAGAAAGGAGGAGAGAGGGAGAGAGAAAAGGTAACTATAAATATTTTGCTATAAAAATTAAAAGGTAACTATAGGAGATAATTTTTTAAAAGAATATTTATTTATAATAAATAAGGTATCAACCTTTGCTATAGAAGGTAAAATTTCCTTAAACGTATTGGACCATTTAAGAATGTTAAGTCCAAACTTGAAATAATACATTAAAAGATAAAACTGTGAAATAGTTCAAGAAGTATTTATAAATTGCATTACAATAAATATTTATATGTGTAAAATATTTTTAAAAATCGTACAAATGTAATGTCAGGTTGGTTTGGTCTCGGTTTGACTTTTTTAGTTAAACCAAATCAAACCAGTTACGGTCAAATTTTTTTCAATACCAAACCAAGTCACGTTGGATCTTTTTTCGGTTTGACTCGGATTATCGGTTTGTGCGATTTATTGGTTTTGTCATTAAGCTCATTGTATTGTAAAATTTTTAACAATACAATAATTTTAATGCTAAAAAACTTAAAGTTTGAAACCATTAAATTTAAATACTGGATCCACTTATGCCTACGTGCAGGGGCGGATATAGCCTTTAGGCCACGAGTTCAATTGAACCTATAACTTTTAATATGGAATATGAATTTATCTGAAAAAATGTGATGACCCAAGGTCATCACTTATTTTAAAAATAAATTCTATGTTCTGAAGCCTAAAAACCTGTTTCAGTATCATCTCGATTTACGTGCGCAGTCCGGGCGCGTAGCCGGAAAGCC